ATTTCTGTTTTTGACCAAACATAATGTTAAATGTTTGAAAAAGCTTAAAATACGCATTGTATTTACCATATAGGCAAAAAGTTATTGCACTAATTTGCACACGATGAGGAAAGGTAATTCCTAGATTTAGTAGATTGAGATAGATTTAGAGTCACGGATGTTAGGTGGTAGGGAATTCCAAAGTCGCACGGCATTAACAGTGAATGAATAGGAGTAAAGGTCAGTATTGTGTGAGACGACAGAAAGATTACATTTAAGATGAGATCGGGAAGGAGCCTCAGGAGGACGGGCAAAGAAAAATCGTTCGCGAAGGTAAGAGGGATAGTCAGGATTGAATAGTATATTGAAAAGTAGACATATGATGCGAGCCATAAGATGTGATTTATTTTACTGTGATTGGTTTTATGTGTACTGATACAAAGGTAGACTTATCTAAAACATAACAGTATTTTTGTTAGCCTATTCGACAATGAAGAAAAGTTTTGAGACGATTTTGAAAATGTTTTGCTTTCGGCTCTCCTCTAAACTTGTAAAATTTCACATCAGATCTAATAACGCCGAGATAATATTTAATTTAAAACCGAAACAGTTTCTGAGAGTGATTTAAGTGTTACTCTAAGTTTCTGGTCTCTGCCTACCCTCATAGGAGACAGGCATATGTGTAATGTATCTGTTGCAGTATTACGGTTAAAGATTTTGAAATTCTCAGAAGCAGCATGAAGACCAAATCAACTTAAGTATTTGACAAAAGATTTTTTAAGCAGGCGGATTATTTGATGGTAAGCAATCCGAGTCGCCCATGGACACCCAAAACACCAGAGAAGTCACAAGTGCTTTACTGGCCTTTTGGGAGTTAGGAATTTCAGAATTATTGGGGGTTCGGGGATTGGGGAGATTGGGGAGGGGGATAATTGGGCCTTCGGTAACCTCACTCACACGATAAAACAAAACACAAGCGTTGTTTCACGTCGGTCTTCTGTGAGGCCGTGGTAACACTCCGGTCGAGCCGGCCCGTTCGTGCCGAAGCATGGCTCTCCTACACTTTAGTTTCAATCACTACTGTTAATATTTTAAAATAATTAATTGTATATGATTTTCATAAGAAATAACTGCATTATCAGCTGCAGTTATGTCACGTACCTTAATATTATCATCGTGATTGATTGATTTTTTTATCTAATCTGCACTAGGATTTCCTCCTGTATCGTGGATGAGTTGAAACAAGTACATACAAATGACACATATACCCGAAATACGTATGGGAATCTAATCGTAACGATAGATGTCGCGCGACGTGTAGCGGGTGTGTCCGGTCCTTTGGGGTCCCTGAGGATGGGGCCCTGGGCACAGGCCCCGAGTGCCCTATGATAAAGACGGTACAGAGTTAGGCGTGGCATCGTGATAAACTTTGTTTTCGTCATCATGGACCAAAGGTTATATTCTTCTTTAATGTCTCCACGTGAGAACCAAGTACAGAACCTCTTTCAACTCAATATTACCGAGGAAAGTAATCAGTTAACCAACATAATCAAATGATAAAAAATTAAAAAGTATTGATAACAAAACATATAAAATTAGGGATTACTGAAATAGCATGCAGTTATAAATTGACACCAATTCTACGCGGTATTAAGTGTCGATGCATTGACAATGGTGTAAGTTCAAGTAAACGAGGGTTGGTTGGAGGGAGAGGTGGTACAGAACGAGTATGGCGGCTCCTACTACAGTTTCAAGGGGATCCCGTACGCACAACCTCCACTTGGAGAACTGAGATTTAAGGTTTGTTATCAATAATCTTATATTTTGTTTATCAAATAGATGAAGAGTTAGTTTTGACGCGTTAATCTTAGGAATTACAGATCAGATTTGAAAAATTCCCATAGAATTTATATTTATTGATTGTTTCACAGGCCCCTCAACCGCCAAAGCCCTGGAAAGATGTCCGCAGCGCGAAACAATTCGGTTCAAAATGCTACCAATATGATGCGTTCTTTGAAAAAGGAAAAGTGTATGGTTCTGAGGACTGCCTCTATCTCAACGTGTATACACCAAGCACCAAACCAGACAAACCTTTACCAGTCATGTTCTGGATTCATGGAGGTGGTTTCGTATCTGGAGCTGGTGATGACGACGTGTACGGCCCCAAGTTTCTCGTAAGACAAGATGTCATCCTTGTCACGTTCAATTATCGACTTGAAGTTCTTGGTTTCCTCTGCTTAGACACTGAAGATGTACCTGGAAATGCTGGTATGAAGGATCAGGTAGCAGCCCTCAGGTGGGTGAACAAAAATATTGCCAGCTTCGGAGGTGACCCAAACAATGTAACAATTTTCGGTGAGAGCGCTGGGGGGGCCAGTGTCACTTATCACTTGATATCACCAATGTCCAAAGGATTGTTCCGGAGAGCAATAGCCCAAAGTGGTACCAATGTTGGGTATTGGGCTCAAGCGTACAAACCTCGTGAAAGAGGTTTTGCGTTGGCAAGGAAATTAGGATATAACTCTGACGATCCTAAACAAGTATACAAGTTCTTAAAAGAACAACCTCTCGAGAGTCTTATCAAAGCTACTGTACCGATAACATATTCAGAGAAAGTACGAACCTACACTGAGTTTTATTTTAGTGTAGCTGCTGAAAAACAGTTTGGAAACAACGAACGATTCTTCTGCGGAGATGTACTTGATTCTGTCTCGACTGGTATTCACGAAGGAGTTGATATTATGACAGGATATACAGCGGATGAGGGTATATTGAGCTTGGCTATCTTTGGAGATATATCTGCAAGTTTAGAACAAGCTAGAAACTTTCCGCAGTTTTTCATTTCGTATCCAATGTCTCTCACATTGTCTACTAACGACCAGCTCGAGCTTGGGAAGAGAATAAGAGAATACTATTTCAAGAATTCCATTTCGGTACCAGATGATTGGGAGAAGTTGGAGAAATTTTATGCAGCTGACCTATTCGTGTTTCCTGCAAACAGGTGGATTAAATTATGTGCTCAATCTAAAAAGAACAAGGCATATTTTTACAAGTTCACTTGCGTATCAGAATTGAATACGATATCTCAGATGATAGGCGTAGGTGATTTAATTAAGGACAAACCAGTGGTAGGTCACGCAGACGACTTACTTTATTTGTTTACGCCGAATACTTCACCAATAATAGACAGGGATTCGAAAACATTCCAACATGTGGAAAAGGTCACGAAACTTTGGACAAATTTCGCTAAATTTGGGTGAGTAGCTTCACAGTTTATACCTTAAGGAAACCAGATTTTTAGTTATAGAATAATGGTCAAAAGCTAATGTCTACTAATGCCAAGCATATGATGTTAATGGAAGTTAAACACTGCAGATGCGCCTATAGTAGTACCTATAAGTCTATAGACTTAGTATCGCGAATTCTACAACTTCAATAATGATGAAGAAAGTAACAGTATTGCCCAGCCCATATTAATAATAATATATAATAATAATAAGCCTTTTATTCGGATAACAAAAAAACTAAAACAAAAAAATACTTTCTTACATTACGTGAACTAGAAAATTTTTATTTAATTAAAATTTTTCGCGTATTTGGTGCTTCTTCACTTTTTGTAAAAGTTAAAGTCAAATGATGAGACAAAACATATTAAATTGTGCTAATATGAATTCAGAATATTATTTCGCCAAGCATTGTTTAATGGGATAAGACGGCAAACGAGCAGACGGATCACCTGATATTAGACAATTAGCATCGGCCATGGACACTCCAGCTGTTACAAGTGCGTCACCGGCCTTTTGGGGATTAGGAATATAAGGATCGTAGGGAATTCAGGGATTGGGGAAGAGGGACGATACGAAACACAATATAAGCGTTGTTCACGTCGGTTTTCTGTAACGCCATGGTATTACTCCTGTCGAACCGGCCATATGTGAAAAATTCCCCGTTCGACTCTATATAAATCAGTCACAAAAAATATAGCTTTTTCTCAATGTTTCAGAAATCCCACCCCTGACGATTCATTGGGCGTCACTTGGACTCCGTATTCAGTGGCCAATAAGGATTACCTAGACATTGGCAACGAGCTCAAACCTGGTCAAGCGCCGGACGACGAGGAAGTACAATTTTGGGAAAACGTCTTAACAGAATTCAAACAGAAATTGTATTGATTAGATATTACTTTGTAAACAATATATTAGATAGAAATGTTATTATTTTTGACTTTGTTTAATGTCACTCGAGTGTCAACAGTGATGATTACAAACTGATAATGTAGGTACTGTACAGAAATAATCAAAATATTTTCTGTAACTAAAGTTTTTTGGATAAGATAAAGAAATAAATGTTGCTGATGATAGCAATTATTATACAAAATGTTTGGTAGTAAATAAATGAATCAACAACAGTGATATAGTGAGATAGAAAAGTGAATATTGTCTACTTTTAAATCATAATAATATTTACATTAATTATGATACAGCTACTCAAAACAAAATGGGGGCCACCGTAGATAATCTATATTAATCATAACTCTTTTATAAAGTACGTTTGAAAACACTGACCTTCTCCTAACAACATTTTTCTGAAACCCGTAATAAAATCGGTTCAGCCAATCACAAAATAATCGAGCACATACATACAGGTTAAACTGAGAATCTCATTCTTTTCTTTTTTTTCTGATTGCGGTTAAAAATGAATCCCAGATATATATATTTATGTGGCGGAGAACCTAACGGTTTACCGGGGCTCCGGTTCGAAGCGCAGGAGAAGGAACGGGGTGGTTTGTGGTCAGCAAGAGTGACACTCCCTCCCGCCTCACCCAGGCGGGAGCAGTCATGCGATGATTTTCCCTCCTTAAAAAAAAAGATATATATTTACGTACGCTCATAACTTCAGAACGACAGTAACAAATCGGATATTTATTTTTATCTACATGTTCGTAAAAATGCAACGGAATGCGCGTACGAATTCACGGGCACCAGCTACAGTGTAGTAGTATAGTTTTTTTTTATACCACTATGGTGGCAATAAAAGCATACGACCTACCTGATGGTAAGCGGTGACCGTGGCCTATGTACGCTTGCAACACTTAGGGCATTACATGCGCCATATATTTGTGTTCAAGTAACTCAAGAGCTGATAAAGCATTTGATTATGTAGACAACACGGAAATCATAGTAATTATACCATTATAATTTTCAGACATATTCATTTCATTTCGTCTATCACTTTTGATAATTGAATAAAATATTATGTTTTACTAGCTGTTACCCGCGACTTCATCCGCGTTGACTATGGTTCCTGGTTTATCCATAGGACCATTTAATCGGGATAAAATCCTATCACCTAAGTCTGCCCATACCCTGCCTGTGTACCATATGTCGTTAAAATCCGTTCAGTAGTTTCAGCGTGATTGACGGACAAACATCCGAACGAAGAAACTTTTACATATTTAATAATATAACATAACATCACGCCTTTTATCCCCGAAGGGGTAGGCAAAGAAAGGTGTACACAGAAGTAACACCTACTTTTCACTATTTATGTTATCAGTCGCATGTAATAAGGGCTGAGCCTATTGCCATATACCGGGCAGCCGGGCACATTTCCAGACTCCGTGTAGCACGGAGATTTTTTTTAAAAACCTAGTAATACTTTGCCCGACCCGGAAATCGAACCCGAGACCCCTTGCCCGGCAGTCGCACTTGCGACCACTCGACCAACGAGGCAGTCATTTTAATATTAGTGTGTTATATACATTTATTTACATAAACCATAATTTATTTTTCTACGCTATTCAACAATTACTTAACTTGGTTAGTAGTACCACTTATTAGGGAAATTTGAATTCCAGTGTGACCCATTATTGACGGTTTCTATATCAATCGAACTAAAACATGTTACAGTCATTTAAACTGAACTACTTTCGTTTTTTCAACAAGAGTATCAATAAAAATGTGATCTCACACAATACAGTGGACAACGACGTGCAGACCATGCTGCGGCCCTTCACTGTGATGCAGTACATCATGTTCTGTCCGAGATACCGCATCAGAGACAACTACATCACTCCCAACACTGCAGCCATGAAGTTTATTTCTATGCCCATTACACTAACATTCATAGTGTCGACCATATTTTGCACCAGAAACACAGATTTTTATGAAACATTTATACAAAGTCCTGCATTTGTATACTTTACTTCAAACTACGACTGCACTACATTTTGTATAAGATTTGTTATCCTCTTCATCATCACAAGCATTAATACAAAAAACAACATTCAATTTGTCTTGAGTTTCCAAAAGGCTCACAGATTCCTTAACAACATTTCAAGTTCCTATATGACCTGGAATTGGATAAGTTTGTATTCCACATTCATAGTTTATCTCTGTATGTACAGCTTATTTGCCAGAACCGCTGGAATAACACTATCTAAATCATACAGTTTCTATTTTCTCATCTTCTTTGACACAAACACTGTTTATTTCATTCGGATGATGAAAGCTTTGGAGGACAAAGTGCTTCTGTGGAACAGTCGCGCCTTAATCTACCACAGGGCGGGACACGCACATGACGCGGAGTTCAGCAAGCAAATGTTTGAAGCTTATGTCAATATTTTAGACAGTTACAATATACATAAAGCGTCTTTTTGGATATTTGTAAGCCATTTTTCAGATTATGTACTATGAATACCTATGTAAAATTCTTGTAGTTTTTTGATATCTTGAATAACTATTTGGATTCTTGTAAGCATTTGATAAAATGTATTTATTTCAGATCTTGTACTATTTGACAGATATGTTCACTCACGAATTGATTTATTTTCAAGTGATAATCGAGACATTAAAGAAAAGTGTGATGACTGGTAACATTGTAAGTATAGTACCTTAGAATATATCATACTTCTAGAATCTCTAGAGAGAATAGACGAGTGCTATACAACAATTTTTTTTCAGCAAACAGCAATACTTGTGTCGTCATTAATATGTTTGTGGCAGTCGAGGGATTTAACGTACACCACATTACTGACTTTACAGTGTGAAAAATTCTACATAGCTCTTCAAAATTTACAAGACAATTGTGCACTCATATTAATGTCGAATTGCGAAGGTAACCACAGACTTACGCAGATTTATGTAATTAATCGTAACATGAATTTGCTGCGAGGAATAACGAGTACAATGTTTTATTACTCACAGATGATGAACGAAAACTCTACAAGAACGTGCTGCGCCTGCACCGCGCGTCATTCAGCAAGATACGTGTGTGCAGCCTGTTCTACGTGGACGCCGCGCTACAACTGAGTCTCATGAGTCTACTCACTAACTACATAGTAGTGTTGCTACAGTTTGCGATTCTGTAGTACATGCAGCAAGATACGTGTGTGCAGCCTGTTCTACGTGGACGCGGCGCTACAACTGAGTCTCATGAGTCTACTCACTAACTACATAGTAGTGTTGCTACAGTTTGCTATTCTGTAGTACATGCAGCAAGATACGTGTGTGCAGCCTGTTCTACGTGGACGCGGCGCTACAACTGAGTCTCATGAGTCTACTCACTAACTACATAGTAGTGTTGCTACAGTTTGCTATTCTGTAGTACATTCAGCACGAAACGTATGTGCAGCCTGTACTTTCAAACTATTATAAAATGTCATAAGTATTATGAGATAAATATCAGTCAATTTAATAGAATAGTGTTTTGTTTTAATATGCGGAACGTCACAATGCCTGCGCGGATGCGCTACTGGCGCTGGTTGATCAAGAACTCTGGAAGTCATTAGTCAGTCACTATGTTCAGCAGAAGACTTCTAATGACGTTTATTATCATGATAATAAAATGAAATCATCATCAACAGCCTGTATATGCTAACTGATGAGCAAAGCCTCTTCTCATACGGAGAAGGTTTGAGCATTAATCACCACGCTTGCTTAATGCGGGTTGGCGATTTCAAACTTATAGAAGTAATTCACGATGTTTCCTTCACCGTTTTGTCAGTGGTGTCTAAATATTCTTAGAAAGTGATCCACTTCAATGCAGTTAACTTACCGAGTTCACTCATAGATATTTTTCCTTCTTTGTTAAATCTCTTTATCATTTCTTCTGTTACTCACAGATGACGACAATTTTTTGTTTTACTTTGATGCCACACTACAATTTCATCTCATCATGAGTCAAGTCATTATGTACTCAGTAGTTAGTTAGTTATGCTACAGATTGATTACCTCTAGACAGATGTTAAACATAAAATAACTGCACGTCTTTTATTATTCAATGGTTTTACTTAGCTTGCCCGATTTGTATGATTGTATCTTAGTAATATGTAATATTATTATCCTTTTCTTGACGACATACCCATCTGATATTTGATACACACTCTGTACAATACAGTATAATCAAATTTTTCTACTACTGCCTTCTTTATAGTTAACTAGCTTTTACCAGCGGCTGCGCTCGCGTCACAAAAGGATAAAAAGTAGCCTATGTGACATATACCAATACACACAGCGCCATCTATACCAATAATTTCGTTTTCCCTCGAAAATATCAAATTTTTCGGGGATAAAAAGTACCCTATTATTTAATCCAGACTTCTAACTTTACCTCTGCAAAAATTCAAAGCAATCGGTTTAGTAGTTATGGCGTGAAAGCGGAACAAACAAACAAACTCAATTTCCGATTTATAATATTAGTATAGTAAGGATTGAATCCGTTTGATTATAAAAATATTCTTACTAGTTTCTCTAAGTGTAAATACGTCCACACCTGGCGAATGCATCGCGAGTGCGCAGTACACGAGCCGCTAGCGAGCTGTGCGCGTGCATTTAAAATTAATATTTACAGAACCTCGAGACGAACCTCGTATGAGTTGAGTACGAGCTGGCAATCGACTCACGAACTGCGTATTCGCGGAGCATTCTCCTGAAGTTGATGATGATGGCACAATTAGGTCATATTTATATCAGTAATAATTAAATGTCTCCGAGTACGACAGTTAATATTTTATACTTTACATAACAAGCTATCGTTATTAGGTGATGTGTTTACAATGTTTACCCAAATGTGGTAACAGACAATTTCATTTGTCAGTAAATAGAGTTTTTTGATAGAAATAACCTTTGGTAAATTAAAATATTCATCAGAAATATGTATTATATATTTCTGACTACCGCAAGTATCAGTACGCTTACTAGTCTACCATGTTAAAGTTATTAAAAATTAAAAACTATTTTAACTTAATAGTGAATAATCGTACAAATGTGATCTCACACAATACAGTGGACAAAGACATGCAGACCATGCTGCGGCCCTTCACTGTGATGCAGTACATCATGTTCTGTCCGAGATACCGCATCAGAGACAACTACATCACTCCCAACACTGCAGCCATGAAGTTTATATCTATGCTCGTTACACTAGCATTCACCTTGTCAATCGTTCGTCGTACAAAGAACTTGTACTTTTACCAAAATTTTGTCGAAATTTCCGATTTCTCTAATTTTGCCAGTTATTACGATTGCATTTTTCCAATTTCTAGACTTGTTATAGTTTTCATCATTTCAACCATTCAAACTGAAAGCAACATTGAGTTTGTATTAAAGTTCCAAAAAGTTCATAGACTCCTCAATGATGAGACCAGTTTTAAACGTTTCACCATTTGGAACTGGATTATTGTTTTCGGAACGCTCTCTACCTATATCATTGTGAACACTTATATGTTCGTTGAAGCTGGACAATCTATCTTTAAAGTATATAGTTGCTACTTTCTCATATTTTTTGACTGCAATATTATTTACTTCACTCGCATAATGAAAGCATTGAAAGACAAAGTGCTTCTGTGGAACAGTCGCGCCTTAAACTGCCACAGGGCGGGATACGCACGTGACGCTGAGTTCAGCAAGCAAATGTTTGAAGCTTATGTTAATATTTTAGAGAGTTACAATATACATAAAGCGTCGTATTCGATTCTTGTAAGTAGTTTAGTAGCCGAGTGTGATTTGCAAGATGTGTTAATGGATAAGTGGTACCAATTCATTCAGAAGAAAAATAAAATCTCAATTTTAAAAATATTTCAGATATTCTACAACTACGTGGAAATATTCTCTCATTCACTACTCTATAGCCAGATTATAATTGAAATGATGAAAAATATGACATTAGATAAATTTGTAAGTAGTTCTCTTATTTGTTTCATGTCATAGCCGGCAAACAAGCAGACGGATCACCATTTACTCTTGAAATCAATCTCAATGTCAATGCAATTTCAATCCAATAAAATCTCAATAATTATTCAATGTCAAAACTATACAACCACAATCGCGGCTGTTACAATAGCATTTAGAGTACGGTATATAAAGCCAAACTCAATATCATTTAGTTTATTCAATTCTAGCTTTTACCCGCGGCTTCGCTCGCGTCACAAAAGGATGAAAAGTAGCCTATGTGACATATACCAATATATACAGCGCCATCTATACCAATACTTTTGTTTTCCCTCGGGAATATCAAATTTTTCCGGGATAAAAAGTACCCTATTATTTAATCCGGACTTCTAACTTTACGTCTGCAAAAATTCAAAGCAATCGATTTAGTAGTTACGGCGTGAAAGTGGAACAATACGAATGCAATGGTCGCTAGTGTTACAATTCAAGAGTACGAAATTTCACAATACCAATGTCGATCGATCGGAATTGTATTCAACAGTAAGCCCCCTGATGGTATGTAATCGGCGCCACCCATAGACACTCGGAACACCATAGACGTCATGAGTGACGTCATTGTTGGGCCTCCGGTAAAATCATTCACACGACGAAATACAACGCTTCGGTTGTTTCACATCGGTTTCCTACCTGGTATCATCACTCCGGTCGAGCCGAAGCATTCGTGCCGAAGCATGGTTCTCCCGCACTTGTATCTTATACTTTACTTACGGTATACAACTTTAGTAACTACATTATTCTTTTTCAGAGTAGAATGATAGATTTGCACCAAAAGTACACCCACTTACGTGTTTTTGTTCTACAAATCAAGTGAAGCTATTTCTGGCTGAGAATTTCGGTAGCTTTAAAATTAAGAAAAAAAGTTGATAACACTCTTCAGAATAATCTACATACGTATTGTATCTGTTAACAGGACGATGCAATAGCATTATCAATACTGATATTTGTATGGCAATCGAAAGATTTATTATGGCAGACTATAGTAACCAAACAATGTGAGAAATTCTACATAGTACTTCAAATTCTACGGGACACATGTTCACAAATACTAATGTCGAATTGTTCAGGTAAATGAAAATCATGCAAATTCAAATACATAAAAGTATATTTTTATATTGTTATTTTGAAAAGTTTTAAAACAAGTGGTAGTAGTCAAAATAATTGAAATATAGGAGTGACAAAAATACCATATCGTAACGTATTTTACAGATGATGAACGAAAACTCTATAAGAACGTGCTGCGCCTGCACCGCGCGTCATTCAGCAAGATACGTGTGTGCAGCCTGTTCTACGTGGACGCCGCGCTACAACTGAGTCTCATGAG